AAAGTGACGAGAAACGTACTGATTGTAGAACTTCTGTGTACTAAAAGTCTTTATCGAGGAAGAATAAGCTGGTTTAATCAAGAAAGGACTCGAATCACTGAAAATCCTCTGAAAGAATTTCTACCGGAAACAAACAAACAAGCAGATACGTAACGAAGTCAGTGGGTGATTTTAAGTTCAGGCATATAGGCTGGGAAATTCTAGAGTTAAACCATGAGGGAGATAGGGTTTTGGAAATTGTTGAGGATGGCTTACTTCACCAGTTAGTCAAGGAACCTACTAGAAACAATGATATTTTAAACTTATTGTTAACTTCAAATACAGAAATGGTTGAGAGAGTGGAAATTGGGGACATATGGGTGCAAGTAATCATTGCTGTATTGGATTCAATGTTTTTCTGCATATGGAGATAAGGAATAATGGTATTTGAGTTAGAAATTTCAAAAAAGCAAATTTTGAAGGGATGCAACAAGAATTATCTGTTGTGAATTGGGCAGCTGAGTTACTTGGAGACTGTTCAGATGTGGACATTTTTTTAAATATTCAAGGTAAAGAAAAAAAAGGGTAGCTTCAAATAAAAAACAGGTTGGCTCACAAAGAGTTTAAGAGATAAGTATAAAGAAAAGCACCATAAATTTAAGAAATTAAAATTGACAGGACATTTAGAAGATTATAGTAGAGAGGCCAGATCAGTTAAATACATTGTATATATTTTGACTATGATTTATTGATGTATATGTTATATTGTGTCTCGTTATAGAGAAGTCTATATTGTTTGTATGTCTAGCTACAGGAAAAGCTACTTACTTAGAAGAATACTAATTTGAAGTTTGATATGATGAAAGAGGAAAATGAAGATATGTATGATGGAGGTATAGAGACAGCTGTGGTAAGTTGTAGATTAAAACTTTTATGTTTGTGTTATTTAAGAGAATATATAGTTGTAATTATGTCTTTCTGGAGTTTCTGTGGAGACTTATTGGTTATTATGTGATTGTAGTCACAAGCTGAAGAAATTTGCAACAGGTTTGTTGCACTGCTGTAAATAAACTCTTTACATCTCTTTTTGCAGCAGTGATATTGCTAGTCCACAAGTGTTTCATTGTTGAAGTTTCCATAGAACTTACTGTAAACTTTACAGAGATTGGTTACGAGATTGGTCAAATTGACCAACCATGTATAGAAGAGTTAGGGTAGCGAAAACAATAGATAAACTATAAAGTTTTACTGAAAACAAACATTTCAAATGTATATAGGAGGTTTTAGAGATTACGCAAACATCATTTGAAATTTTTGAAGTGAAGAAAATTATTTTAATCTTAACATGAATATCACTTTGCACACAGACTATTCAAAGCAAATACTCAATATATTCATAGTCAAATCTTTATTTTAATTTATTAAAAATACTTCACTAGAAAATATGACTTTTTGTATGTGAAAGACTTGTGTTTACTGAAAGATTACCAAATTTTGTGAAGATATACAAACTATATTAAAATTCAGCAGTATCGAATCTATAAAGACTTTAAATGAGAACAAAGAGGTCATATTGACTGAGCCCATATGAAGAGAGTTAAGTTACTCACTCAATCCCTTTTTAGCTGCACCTTTTATTCACACCTAAGGTTTTTTGATTAGATAACCTGACTTTTTGTCAATACACACCAACAAATCACAGCAAGTAAGAAAGTAACACTCAATAGTAACCAATATTGGCTTTAGAATTGCAACCCTATTATTCAGTACAGACTGATCTATACTTTACAGAACCAACCAGATTCTTTAAAATACATGGTGGTAGATTTTATTCTCTAAAACAGTATTAATGACTTTGTTAATAGTAACGCCTTGGAAACTAGATTAACAATTTCACTCTATTTTTGCTACTCTAAATCAGCTGTCTATAAATCTGACTGATCAAAAACTTAAAAACAGTCCTCCTTTACTCTAAGGGGAAGCTGTCATAAAAACTTCAAACTGATAGCTCACAGGACTTTTGATCAAAATTAGTGGTTTTTGTTAAATAGCTTTTCAAAAAAATCCATGAAAGTTAAGTATGTTTTTCTATGAAACAAAGTTTCCATATTTTCTTTGTAAAGAAAAAAAAAGGAACAAATTGAATCAAAATTGGAAGTTTGATATCTTGTATTTCTTAATAGATTGCCTTGAAATTTGGTATGTGAAGTAAGGGTATAGTAGAGCACATTCACGGAAAATATATGATAGTTTGAATTACCACAGTCCAAGCTACAGAAAGTGGAAAATAGCTAAACTGTCACTGCTGTTAATAACACACTGTGTTTCCTGCAGGTTGTTTTAGCCACACGGCACATTATCCTCTGTCTTGATAACCAAGTTTGAAGCATTAGGTTTATTAATTATATTGTAACGTTTTAAACT